AATTTGAATATTTAGCGTCTCAAAGTAAATATATATTGTATTAAAATAAATATTGTATTAAAATAAATATAATAAAATAATAGACAAAATAGCATATGAGAGTCAATCGCTCAATTATTTAATTCTCAGTATTTTATGTGGTCCTTTCTCACGGCCAAGCAATCATATGTAAGCGATGCGATGATCATAATAGATAGTAATTCATTATTATTCATTATTGACTGCTTCTTACATAATTATTAGAAGATCTAAAGGAAGCTCGAAACAGAAGTCGAAACATGTAATTGATTCTTTGCGTTATGGTTATATCAAATGTCATTTTGTATTATTTAATTTTCAGAAAGTTTTTATTTACGCAATAATTACCGCACTTGATTCCTATGTGCTATTTTATCTATGATTTTATTATATGATAAGGAGTCATTTTTTTATATTAAAATTAAAGTATAATGTAACATAATAGGATTAACTCTATATTAATATCCATTTTCCATTCTATAAACATGTATTAATCTGCTATTATATTAAATTCGAATTATTTACGCTAATACGTACGCATATAAACTCGGAAATTCGTAATATCTTTATATTTCTACAAAATTTTAAGCAGATAAAAATTTTTTTAATTTTTACTTTGCTATATGCTTATGTAAGAATTTAATTACGTTTCTTCTAAATATTTTTTGAATTTTAGATATATCGGTACTAGACTGGATAAAATAAATAATCATTTTGTACAAATATCAGAAATGGAAGATTATAAATTAAGATGCAAATCGAAAAAGATTTTTGTTAATAGCCACAATGTCCGTGGTGCTAAGAATTACAAACGTTTATTATGGATCGTAATGTAAATTATTATTATTTTATTTATAATTCAAAAATTTTTTGTTTATAATATAAAGATAAATAAAAATATAACAAATATTTTATAAAATAAAAATATAATAAAAAAAATAATTTAAAATATAAGGTAAATAAAAGGAATTATTAATTGACACCTAATAAGTAATTAATTAATACCTATTTTCATACTTTATTGAGAACAAAATTAAAGTATTTAATAAATAATAATAAATAATAATAAGATAAGAACGTTGGAATAAAATTGGCTTTTACATTTATTTTTGAAATTAATTTGTAAACATATCAATTATTAGTTTTAGTATTATCAATTATTAATCTTACATTTTTTGTAGTGATATGATTTTTATAACATTTGATAACTTTTATAAAAATATCAACTTAATATAT